GGTTAGGTTTTCTCTGCTCCTTTGCTGGGTTTCTGTATATTGCACATATGAGTCATGTCATCTGGTGTTTGTGGTTCTCCTAATTTATCTCATTTAGCATAATTTTACCCATTTCCATCCATGTTGTTGTAAACTCAAGATTTCATTGTTTTTCACAGCTGAGTAGTATCCATTGTGTACATGCCACTCATCTCTTTTGTGCACATAGATTGGTTCCATAATTTGGCTATTGTAAATATTGTTGTAATGAACACAGGGTGCCTAGATCCCTTGAAATGAGCTTTTGCATTTTTTTGCTAAATCCCAAGGAGTGCAATGTTGGGACCTCTGGCAGAGGCAGACCTCTGGGACTTCTGATATTTTGAGGAAACTCCATACTGCTTTCCATAGGGGGCTGCATCAATTCTCACAAAAGTGTATGAAGGTTCCTTCTCCCCCACACCCTTGACAACATTTATTATTTCTTGTCTTTTTAATACGAGCCACATCACAGATGCGAGGTGGTGTCTCATTGTGGTTCTGATCTGCATCCCCTGATGACATGTGATGGGAGCATTTTCCATGTGCCTGTGGCCATCTGTATCTTCTTTGGAGAAGTGTCCGCTTAGTTCCTCTCCCCATTTTCGATTGGGTTGTTTTCTGGTCATTGAGTTGTATGTATTATTTGTTTATCTTGGATGATGATATGCAAATTATTTCTCCCACCCATAGGGTGTCTTTACATATAATGACAGTTTCCTTCGCTGGGCAGGAGCTTGCAGTTTGATGTGTCCCCACTGGTCTGTCTTTGCTTCTGTTTCCTTGGAGCACAGAAGATATCGAGGTTAGTGAGTCTACTGTGTAGGACACACCATGGTGTCCACGTCATTGCACATTTGTCTAAAACCCACAGCATGGACATCGCCAAGAGTGACCCCAATGTGAAGTCAAGGGCTGTGAGAGATAACGATGTGCAGGTTCATCATGTGGCGGACGTGCCGCTCTGGGCTTAGCATGTGATTAGGACACAATCCATGAAGTGTTTTGCAGTTGAAGGGATTTTAGTAGGATTTAATTTTTAAAGTATTATTTTATTATTTCAAAGCACAGAAGAAAATTTTAAACACAAGAATTTACATAGCTAAATGAATAACACCCCTTCCCACCACAGCCCTCCAGGGTGTCAGGTCATCTGCTCAAAACCAGTTAACAAGTTATCATTCCTCTTTCCAGAAAAATGCCTTTATCTAGTCACTAGTGTATACTATCATAGAAGCACATAGCTGAAAACACAGAGTGGGTGAAATGATTGCAAATCAAATCATGTATCTTATAAAGGATTTGTATCTAGAATTTATATTATAAATGAAGTGACCCCTCGTCACTGCTGGCAGGATATGATGACCCAGTCACGAGGGAGGATCTGACAGTTTCTTTTAAAGCCAAACACAGACCGACCATACAGTCCAGGGAGCACTGTCCCTGCTATTTACCCAACTAATCTGAAAACTTCTATCTGCAAAACAAACAAAACCAAAAAACTCTGCGTGGAAGTAAATGTTTATAGCAGAACCCCCACGAAGTGAGCTGTCCATAGTGACTTCCTTCCAAAGACAACAGCAACTAAAGGCAGGAAAAATGAAAGTGCATGTGTGTGCACCTGATGTGCTGCTGGAGGACAGCCTCAAATGGAGGCCATTGTGCCTGACCAGCTCTGCTCACAGATGTCATCAGAAGAGGAAAGTTTGAGGAACTGTCAGCCAGAGGCACTAAGAAGACATGGTTGGAACTTCATGTGGTGTCCTGGGTGGGATGTGGGAGCATGAACAGAGCATTGGGGGAAATAATGAAATCCAAATACAGCGCAGAGTTTAGTGAAAGTGCATCCATATTGCTTCCTTAGCTGCGCAAATGCACTCTGGTCACGTGAGATGTTAACAATTTGGAAATGATGTGGGTTATATAGGAGTTGTACTAGCTTTACTTTTCAGTAAATCTAACAGAATTTTTTAAATGTTGTTTAAAATTAAATTTTTAATTAAAATAATATTTAAAAAAATAGCCCTCAACAAAGTTTTAGGTTGTAGAAGGAAAAATGATGAACTTCCCAGTAGTCCCAGGTGTCACGGTCTAGGGACTGGAGAGAGCGGTTCTGGGAGAAAACAAGGAAACTTCACACACAGAGCGGTCTCCGAGTCTCCTCTGCTCTGAGCCCTGCTGCTCTGACTCCTCACAGAGCATCTCACCCCAGGACGCCGCCCTCGAGAACCCCCAACTCTGCCCACCTCAGCCCCCGCCCCGTCCTGGCGGCGCCACCAGAATCCGGAACAGCGCGGCAGCGGCCCCCGTGTGGCCACAGGGCTGAGCACAGGAGCCCAGAGCTGCCCTTTCTCCTGCTCAGCCAGGCCCTCCCCAGGCTCCCAGGGCCCCTGGCGGCAAGACAAGGTCCACTGTCATGTTAGGGGTCCTCAAATTGACCCCCTAGTGAGTAACTATGGGTACAGATTCAGGAAAGAGCCAGGTGTCTAGGTCATAACAGTTGCTCCCCCAATTCTGGGGCCCCATTTTATACAGGTTCGCTCAATCTCCTTGGGTGGGAACTTGGACTCCAGAGTCCCTGTTACCTGTTCCTGCTTCCAGGGAAGCAAGTGCCTCTTCCTGAGAATTAGCCCCAAATTCTCCATCCCTGGGGTGGAGGAGCGGCCGGTAACAGACACTCAGGCTCTGTTCTAGACCTTCTGAGTTCATGCGCATCCAGGTGACTCCTATGTTCACTGAAGTGGGGGAATCCCTGGTCAGTGTCTTCTCCATGTTGGGTCAGAATGTGCATTTGGCTCTAGGGGGGGGGGTATGTTCTGATTGCTCATCACTGTGGAATCTGGGGTTCAATTCTGCTCCTTTCTCTTGCTTACTCATCACTTTCTGGGTGACCCTTACATGCTCAAGACTTTTAGTATCATTGACATCACATCTCCTCCCAGATCTATTTCTTACCTCAGACATTTCACCTGTGCCCCAGACTTGTCTGTCCAAATGTCAACATCACTTTCAATTCTAATACATCTGATTCAACTTTCCTAAATTGAGTACCTAGGATGCCCACGTATGGTTCTTCTGGGGTCTTCTCCATGTCACTGAGGCTCCAACTCTCTGCCTGAACAGTCTGAAACACTGAGTGTCATTCTTGACCACTTTCTCACAGCCCAGAAGTGGGAAACACTATAAAGTCCATGCCTAAATACACACAGTCCTATCACTGCCTATTATTTCCCTGCTCACCCCCAATGAAGCCACCATCCTCTCTGTCCTGGGACCTGCACTGGTTTCTTCCATTTCTCTTCCCACCTCTCACCCTTCCATGCTGCACAGCAGCCAGACTGAGGCTACCAGAGAGAAGTGCGTATCTGTTCAGAAGGTCTTGTCACCCCACATCTTACTCACAGAGTCAAACCCTCCCAACATCCTCAAGCCTGAATGATCTGGGTGCACACAGATCCCATCTCCATTGGCATCTGCTGCAACAGCTGGCCTCCTTGCTCATGTCAGTCACAGACACATTCCTACTCGGGCATCTGCACTGGAGGTTGTCCTGTCTGGACTGAACTTTCCTGCACATCACATCTCTGTGGGTAATGTGTCCATCCAACTTTTTCTCAAAAGTCACTTTAGTGAGACCCACACTGACCACGCTGGGAAGAAAAAAAAACTGTCCTCACACACTCAGTCACCTTCCCACAGCCCTTACCCACTTCTAACCAGACACGCATGGTTTACTGTCTGATCTGTTGTCACAGTCCCTAGTCTCCCCTCCCCGCTAGGACACACTCTCCACAGGCCGCAAATTGTGCATGTTTTTAGTTCATGGAGGTTTCCTAGTTGCATAAACAGTCACACACACATACCTGGTGCACACACACCTCCCTGTTCTAGAGACAGTGTCTTTACTAATGGGCACATTACACAGTTCTTTTGAAAAGAGGTTCCTATGTTTTTTGGGGGTTTTTGGTAAGATTTATTTTTGCGTAGAAGAACTGGGGTGTACGTCAGAATTGCGGGGGTGGGGATGGTGAGAGGATTCACCAGAGACAGAGTGGGGAGCAGAACAGGTGGATTTACTGAAATACACTGCTAAGGGGAGCAGCAGGAGAAATAGGAGAGGTCTGCTGGGCCATATGTGGGTTATTTCCCTGGCTAGGGATTGAACTTGGGGTGTAAAGGTGATAGTGCTGAAACTTATCCCTGGGCCACCAGGGAGGTCCAGGTTCCTAGGCTTATGGGACCTATTTTTCAGTCATCTATGAAGGTAACTGACTCCATCAACTCATGGGTCTCAATTAGCACCAGCACTGGGGTTACTACATTTAAGGGCAGGGTTACAGGGAGAAGCTATAGAGAAAAACAGAAATCTATTAGGAACTTCTTTAAATCCATCAGGAAATTATCAAATCCTCTTCTCTAGTAATGCCAACATTTTGTTCTGTAAAAAAGAGTTGGAAAAGGTGGAATTAATAATAGAGAAAACATTCCTAAAATGAGGCCAAAAATTAGATGAGTGTGGAATTTCATCTCTCACCAGACTCCTATGTGCAGGGGCCACCCTGGGCCTTGAGGGGACAATGACAGATGCTCTGCAGCTGTCAGAGTCAGGGACTAACAGCACATGAGGCCTGGTCTCTATACATGAAAATGAACAGGCATAAAGCAAAATAAAAACCAAAGAGTCAAAACAGAAATACAAAGAAATTTGAGGGCAGAAGGCTAGACCCTGAGCTGAGCCTGGGCTGACCTGGCCACACAAGCACTCCCTGCCCAGACATGACAGCACAGGCCAGGTGGGGTCTGAGTCCCTGTGATCAAAGGCCCTGCTGGGATAGGTGCACCTGAAGGACAAGGACAAAGGGAGAGAGAGATGACCCCTGAGGAGTGACCACGGCAAAGCCCATGACGCACTGAGCACTGACTGGACACAAGCCCTGTCCCCCTCAGCCACTCATAGCCTCTCCCGCCCCCACCTGCACAGACTCAGCACAGCAAACACGTGATTCTGGAAGGTTTCCCATTTATTTCATCTCAAATATCAGAAATCATTTTTATTATCCCCCCAAACCCATCAGGCAAGCTTACAAAAATAATTTCAGAACTCAATTACTATTTCAAGAGGGAAATAGTTACTGTTCTTGAGGAAAACACAAAGACAGGTAGACACAAACTAAGTAGCTTCTGCTGGAGCAGGAAAGTCATCAAGGAGAGACACAGGTCAGTGTGGAGAGGGGCCTGGTGGGCAGGGCTGGGCCAGTCTCCCCACCTCCTCACAGTTATCTCATAAGAACAGAGACACATTCCGATGCCTTTTGCAGCAAAAGAAACCAGTAGATCTTGAAGTTACAAAGTGGGGGTGAGAAGAAATCCTGCATCACTCAACCCCCACAAGGCAGCTGGCTCACACTGTGAAGGAAAAGGATCATAAAAAATTTCAAAGAAACACGTAAGTGTCAACATTCTCAATTGTCCATCCCACCCTCAGAATGTCCCCCTCACAGCTTCCCCATAATCTGGTCCCATCCTCTCTGCCCCAGCCCCTCCCACAGCAGGCTTCCAGGGTCTCACCTTTAGGGGCTGAGAGACACACCAGAGCCCTGGGAACGGTCACTGCCTGGAGGATAACAAAACAGAACCTGGTGAGAGCCATGAGAGATGAGACCACAGGAGGGACTGATAAGGGTGACTCCCCCATGGGCTCCATCTACACTGTCCCCAGGGGCTCAGGGACCAAACCCCTGAGCCACACTAACCTGCAGCCTGAGTGTAGTTTCCTCCTTGTCCTCCTGTGAGAAGAGACATTTTATGAGACCAGGGAGGAGTCAGGCCATTAAGTCCTAAAGGAATCTCCTAGTTCTGAGCCACAGGGAAATTTCCAGAACTATGACTGGACACTTAGGGCAGGACCAGGATATATAAAGAGAGGAGATGAGGGGGGACTGGACCAACTGCCTCCTGGGGTTTGCCCTCAACAGGGACCTTCCCCTCTGCCATTTACTGGAATCAGGGCCCCATCACCAGAATTATCAAGGTGAACAACCTGTGATTCATTTTCAAAAACGCTTTACAAAAGAGGGTTAACAATCAGCTCCAGACTGGGCAACACAAGTATACGGGTGGTACTTCCCATTACCAGACACAGCAAGTTCTATCTGTAGCCTGAAAGTCCCTGGTAGACAAGATCCCCACTCCCTTCCCTACCTGAGTGCTTCTACCTCCACATCACAGCTGCAGCCACCGCAGCTCCAGTGAGCACAGCTCCAAGGAGAACCAGGCCAGCAATGATGCCCGCGGTGGGGATGGAGGACTGAGGAGGGGGCACTGGAAGGGAAGGGAAAGTAAGACCCTGAGCCCCAGGCCTCCATCTGATGCGCTGAAAGTCTCCAGAAGGGCTCTTGATGCCCCTGAGAAGCTCTGTGCCCACATTCCCTACTTACCCCAAGTCAGGACTCGGGGATCCTGTAGCCCCTCATGCTGCACATGGCATGTGTATCTCTGCTCCGCTCCAGAAGGCACCACCAACGCTGCCCACTTCTGGAAGCTTCCATCTCCCCCAGGCCTGGTCTCCACCAGCTCGGTATCCTGGGTCAGGTCCTCCCCATCTCGCTGCCAGGTCAGGGTGATGTCCGCAGGGTAGAAGCCCAGGGCCCAGCACCTCAGGGTGACTTCATGCTCAGAGGTGGGGTGGTGGGTCATGTGTATCTTTGGGGCCTCTGAGGAGAAGGGTGAGAACTTATATACTCTGGATTTTTCCCTCATGGACCCAGAAAAAGCCTCCTGTGACCATCCTTAGAATGGACAGGGCTGTGGGTTTAGAAGAGGAAGCACAAAATCTAGAAACCAGCCTGGTCTGGGATAATCTCTTATTCCTTAGAAAGATCTAGAATTAGGGCGACAGCTCTGGATAGGAGGACGCAGCTCTCTAAGGAGGAGAGCACAGACTTTTGGGGACAGACCTAGGCACTCAGAAAAGCAGGAGTCAGATTCCCCACTCTGTCTCTGTTGAATCCTCTTGTCCCTCACACCTCTGGCCCGTACCCCAGTTCTTGTATGCACAAATAAATAAATCTTAAAACAAAAAACAAAAAACAAAAATGTCCTCCGGCCAATAACAAGACCCTGAGAGAAAAACTTATGGTTCCCAAGAATGCTGCCGGGTCAAAAGGATCCCATGAATTGTGATTCCAGGGCTGGTCTCCCCTCAGGCTCAGGAGAGACTGGATTCCTTAACTGTTCTGAGAAAAGTGGGGTCCTCTGGGGAGTCAGGAAACCCAGGGGGCTCCTCCCTTCCCTGACCAGAGAGAGGGCGCTGCTGTGACCATGCGGGTGCCGGCCTCAGGGAGGTTGGGAGACCCGCGGCCCCTCTTACCTACGCGCTGCAGAGTCTCCTTCCCGTGCTCCAGGTATCCGAGCAGGGACTCCACGCACCTGCCCTCCAGGTAGTTCCTCTGGCGCTCCGCCGCTCCCTCGGCCTCCCACTTGCGCCGGGTGATCTGCGCGGCCGTGTCCGCCGCGGTCCAGGAGCGCAGGTCCCAGTTCAGGGCCAGGTAATCGGCGCCGTCATAAGCATACTGATCGTACCCGCGGAGGAGGCGCCCGTCGGGCCCCACGTCGCAGCCAGACATCCCCTGGAGGGTGTGAGAGCCTGTCCCCGCCCCGTCACCCCGCGGTCACCCCGCCCGCCCCCGCCGGGAATAAACCGAAACTGACGCGGGAACCTCGCGGGGAACGTCCCGGGGCTCGTCCCGGGTCGAGGGTCCGGCGGGTCCCCCTGCCTCGGGGGACGCTCGGGCCGGGGTCTGGGGTTCCCGCCCGCCCGCGGGGGTGGGGTCGTGAGCGCCCCGGGCCCGCCCCGCTCACCGGCCGCGCTCTGGTTGTAGTAGCCGCGCAGGACGCGCAGGTTCAGGCGGAACGTGAGTGCGGTGGCCCTCGCCTTCCTCGTCTGCCGCGCCCAGTACTCCTGCTCCTCCCGCCCAGCCCAGGGCGCCCGCGGCTCCACACTCTGGCCCGGGGAGTCGCCGTCGAACCGCATGAACTGCGTGTCGTCCACGTAGCCCACGGCGATGAAGCGGGGCTCCCCGAGGCCGGGCCGGGACATCGCGGTGGAGAAATACCTCAGGGAGTGGGAGCCTGGGGGCGCAGGGGAGACCCGGGCTGGGGAGACGGGGCGGGGGGGGAGGGGGCGAGGGGGCTCCCGAGATTTAACTATGGCGGCCGACGTGAAGGGTCGATACTCAGAGGGGCAAGAGGAGGCGGAGGGGGGCGAGGTGCGCTGGGAGGGGCAGAGCGGGGTCAGGACAGGTTGGGGTCAAGGGGAACAACAGGGTCAGACGCGGGGAAGACTTACTTTTTCCGCGACCTAAGCCCCCCGCCGGGGTTCCTCTCTCCTATGAGACCTTTTCCCTCCAGGGCCCGCACTCACCTGCCCAGGTCTCTGTCAGGGCCAGGGCCCCCGAGAGCAGCAGCAGGGGGGTTGGGGGCCTCATGACCTGAGGTGTTGGGTCTGGGGAGACTCCGAGTCTTGGCGGGTGGGTGGAGACTTCCTAACTGGAGCCGCGGGGCTGCTGATTGGCTGCTCTGGAGACCTCCAGGCAATGGAGAGTGAGCCCTGGGGTGAGTCACCAGTATCCAGGAAGGAGGACCCGACACGGGCTGTGAGAAGTGAAACCGGGTTGATGAGGAAGCCCGGACCGTCACCTTCCAGCCCCAGACAGCGCCCTGGGTGCTGAGACCCTAGAGCAACACCCAACACCTGGAACTTTGCCGGCCCCTCCTCTCCTGCACCACGGCCTTTGTCACACCGTCTCCCTGAGGCCGGGCCAGGGACTGGGTGGGCGATTTTCAAGCATTTTCCTTTCAGGATCTCGGCACAGTTTTACAAATTAGCGACGACCCCAGTATAATATTAAGAGGTTATAGCTCTCAGTGTTTACTACATGAGTAATAAAACCAATTTAAAGATGTTTTTATTTAATTTAAAATAATATTAATAATCCATTGCATGTTCACAAAGTGTCTTAAAGAAATACAGATATTTATGAAAATAATCACAGCAATGAGTGGATTTTTTACAGCTTGTATTTTTCCAATTGTCTTTCTTCTCTGTCTCATTAGAAGAATGTTAGATTGTCATTTTTTCTCCTGCATTTACTCTGCTGTTTTGGTTGGTCAATGAAAAACCATACAGCCTCTCTGAAATATCTGACAATAGCATTTTAATTACCTTTCAGATAATTGTGACTATTCAACTTTGTTACACTTTGACAATAAATTGAAACAGTATAGTTTCAATTGTAAGAGTGGCGGTTTTTCAAATGTTATTTTCAAAGTGAAACAATATCATTGACTATTTTCTATTCTGTTACATTAATTCCATTGGCCTCTCGATTATTGATCTTCAACTATTACATTATTTTAAAAAGTGATGCATTGTTTTACTAGGTTATATGATCTTTATGTTAATTATTCTAGAATCAAATATTGAACTCCATGTATTTTTTAAAAGGATTTATTCATTAATGCATACAAGATCTGGGGTATAGGCCAGAGATACCAGTGTTAAAGGATTCACCAGAGACAGAATGGGGAGCAGAACAGGCAGATGTACTGAAATACACTGTGAGGGGAGCAGCTGGCGAGAGAGAAGAGGTCTGTTGTGCCATGTGGGTAGCTCCCTGGCCGGGGATCAAACTCATGCTACAGAGGCTGCAGATAGCTTCATAGTGATGGTCTTCCCCTTGAGCCACCAGCAGGCCCCCATGTATGTTTTATGTTACAAAATCCCAAAAGAAAAAGAAAAATACTGGATGGTCTCACTCTTATCAGGAATATAGATAACCTAAATAAGCGATCAGGAAAACGACTGATTATAATAAAGTAAAAATCCACAGGCAACTATAAACCAGAGACACACAATGGGGGGTGGGGAGGGTGTAGGATCAAAACAAGGGTGGTGGGAATTTTACAGGGACTGTAACCAAGATAAAAATGCATACATTGTACAAAAATGAAAAATGATGTATTCATAAAAAATATATGAAATTAAAATAATTAAAAAGAAAGGAAAGAAAAGTAAGTGACTACTAGAAGTTGTCAAAGTTATAGTGATTGGACACAATTTTCCAATACCAAGTTTTCACTTGGAGCTTAGTTGGAGACCCATAAATTGTAAAGTGCTGAAGCAAGGAAAGTCTCAGGTTCATGACTGGAAGACTCGTCACCATGGGCTGGAAGACTGGCCCAAGTCCAGACCATGATGTCCTTTCTTGAATCAGCAAAGCTAAGTCTGAGAAACAGGCAAGATGAGAAAGAGAGTAGAATATACCTCGTAATGCAGGTGAATGTGTGTCTGGGCAAGGTAAATACTAAGAGATTGATTGCCGGGGACCAGCCTCTGGCAAAATGTCGTGTCAGGGGTTCCTGAAAGGATGAGACGGCGTCAGCGAAAATGAAAGGGCTGAGGGGAAGGGCATGAGGTAGAATGAGGAGACACTGACACTGGGTGAGGTGCTAGTATCTTCTGCCGAGAGACTCAGCAGGTCTTTATTTATTCATTTTTAGTAAGCAGGAAAAAAAAATACATTGTCATGTGTAAAGCAGAAACAATTAGTGTATTTTATTCCCATGGACTACTGGCTCCTACGGGTCCCAGCTAGACAGTAGCCTTCAAGGTTAATAGATAAAAAACCAGACCTAACACCAAAATTTATTATTTCAGCTAGACAATTATTTAAAACAGTGGATAGCCGCCAGTGCATCCCTATCAGCTAAAGCCTAAGCATCAAAAGACTATTCTATTCACATGGCCTTCAGCCGGAGACCAGCTGCTGCTCAGCTATCAGAACTTTTTCTACCTACAAACTTCTTAACACAGTCAACTTCATTTAAAAACTTTCCTAAGAAACTTCAAGGGAAGGCAAAAGAAGGACCTACTATAATTATTGTATTGTAATGCTTGTCAGGCATGTTCAACAAACCATCTCCCATTGTCAAGTGGGCCAAACTGCCCAACAAATAATTTCTAAACAGACAATTTTCCATGCCATTTACTGACAGTATGCTGATACATATAATTTATTGCCTAATATATTTTTTGATAAATTTTTCTCTCTATGACCAAGAACAAAAAGCAAAGGGATGCCAGATCTTCAGCCCCACGGTGTGAGGCCCTTTCTCTTAGCTGCTTGTCAGTATCCTATCTGGCTGGGGCAACAAGGCCCCCTGCAGCATCTCCCCCTTTTTTGTTTTTGACCATCGTTTCCATGGTGATGAAGATAGAATATATGGATGTTGGGATGCAGTCTCAGATAAAAATTTTACCGGGTTCCAGTGTGAAAGAAAATCAGTCCCTCCAGGTATTGTCCATTGTGGAAAGTAAAAGTCCTCCATCCCTGGAAAAACAGTTCATCAGTCCAAGCCAAAAAAAATTCAGAGGCATTAGCCAAAACAAGACAGCAAATATGTCAAAATCTCAGAAAGAAAAAAAAAAAATCTTAAAATGGTTCAATTTATGTAAAACACAAATTCTCCCAACCTTGATTCCAAACTTCAACAGTATAGCAAAAGTTTGTAAACCAAATCTACTTTTAAAGCATATTATTTATTTTTGCATACAATCACAGGACAGAATAACTAAACAGCAATTTTAGCTGGCTTTGTTGGAATACTTTATCTAGGATCCGAGTGAACTGTTGGCATCCACTCCATGTCGGCTTCAGGAACAAAGTTGGTCTCATCAGACTCCACCTGGGCTTTCCTCTTCTTGAGGGTACCAGGACTTTTTCGTTGGCTGGGTTGTCCAGTCCTGCCAATGGAGGCAAGCTTCCTCACCTTCTTTGGAGGTCTTTGGAACCCTACGAACAAAGCAAACAGGTTCTCCTCTTCTTGGTTCAGCTCCGTTTTAACTTTCTGGAAGAACTCCACACAAAGCCACACAATCAAACTCATGTCCAAATTTGTTTGTTTAAACAGACAAAATCCCTATGGAAGTTATGCAAAAACAGACTCTTGAGATAAGTAGTAAAAGATTACTACCACTATTTTTATGCTGTGTTGTTATCAAGGGGAGAGAAAATGCAAACACAAGTTGGCTTTTCCGGAAAAAAATTGGAACCTTGCTGCAGATCCTGGTCACCAAAACAAGAAAACTTTGTGGATTCAGAACAAAATACACAAAAAAAAAATGCCAGTATTATATAAAAAAAAAAAAAAAAAACTTAGAAAATATCATGTGTATTCACTACCGTGTAGGAAATTTGTACTCTTAACAGTTCTATCAATAGGAATCTGTCGAGGTCTTTTGTTTTTTCCCTATTTTTCCAGAAACAATTTCTGGAATAACAATTAATAAACAATAAACAATCAATAAACAATTGAAGTATACAATATTACAAGGTGACAATCACCACTGACAATTTGCATACATATCAGGTACTGAGAGGTTTTATACACATTTTAGAAAAACAGTGTTAACATTTTTGTACATGCCAAAGTTTTACCATTTTCCCAAGTGACAATGCTTCCCTTCCAGTTTTACCAAATAGAACAAATTCATCCAACGCCTTTCCCAGGAGGAAAGGGAGAAACTTTGTGGAGTGTCTCAGGAGCTCTACTGAGGTTCCACAAAATTTCCTTGCATCAGCCAAATGACAGGATACCAAATTTTCACTTGAATTTAGATTTCTGGGAAGCTTTGCCATAAATATCAGAAAAATAGCAGAAACAACAATATTCAATCTCTATGAAGGCACCGGCTTAGTTCAGTAGTACAATGTTGACAATTTTACTGAAATGGCCTGTGTGGCCACATGAAAGCAAGCTTTAGTATTAATTAATCTTTTTTATTATGTGAATAAATTGATTAAATAATGCAATATAGTCAAATTTTTAACACATATCATTGTTTTTTTTTAAACCCATTATTTGCAGGTTTTATAAATCAAGGCAAATAAAATTCACTTCCCCTCAAACCTTCTACAACTTATTACATACCCTCAATTTTAGCTTTTTTTAAAATTTTTTTACATTTTTGCACAACCAGACTTTTTTTTTTTTTAATTTACCATCAGTCATCAATTGCTCTTCCTCTTTTTTTCAGACATTACTGAAACTTTTAACAAATCATGATGGTGTTTTTCTTTCAGTAGTCCAGAACATAAGGAGGTGCTTTGTGTGTTCACCACCCCAAAATGCTACTTTAAACATTGCAGATTATTAAAATTGACTTAAAAACAGTATAGCTTAGTTGCACTTGGTAAAGTTAATATGACAAAAAAATTTACATATACATACATATATATATATGTTTTTAGTCAAGGAAAGAAAAATACTTTAAAGATACATTTACACAGAGTAGATTATTAATATTTAACAATATAACTTTAAGGCATATATGCTTTGAATTATATCATAAAATTTGAACTAGTTTTTGTATATTAAAAATTTGGATCATGATCTCAAAATTTGTTTTTATGAGAACTTATATAGGCACCGTTTATAATTAGTCCTCCGGAGGCAAAAAAACAAAACAAAACACAAAGACAGACACAAACAGACACAGAAATCTCTTTGATACA